GACCCTGTTCCTAGGCCAGGTTCCCCGCCCGTGACTGCTGACACAAATCACTGTGGAAAAGGAGCTCAACTTACTCACTACCAGCACCATCAACTGTGGATCAACTGACACTGATGAGCACGTAAGCTCAAGAGTGGTGGCACTCCCAGATCACTAGTCCTGCTTCCAGCCCAGCCCCTACAGCCATCATCTTGTAAAGCAACTCTGTGGAGATGTAGTCTGGCAACTGCCTCTGCAAGGTTTGAAGATAGAGAAAAGAAAGTTCTTGCCACCATAGTTTTTGGCATGTCATATGGTTAAATATCAGAAAATGAAGTGATTTTATCAGTGGAAAAACATTAAATATTATTTATTAATCTACTTTGTTGCTACACACTGAGGACCATGGGATTTTTTCATTTGATTTGCAGGTGAAAGCTCCTATATGTACTGTCTCTCCATGAAAGTATTAGCTCTTTGAAAGCAGACTGTTTTTTTTTTAATTTGAATTCCCAGCACTTAGCATAGTCCTTATTTTTCTTTCAAAAATGCATTTTTACATTCATTTTTTAACAACTTGAGTTTCAAATTCTTTCCCTTCAGCCCCTCCCCTACCTATTGAGAAGTCTGATATCAATTATACATGTGAAGACATGCAAAGCATATTTCCATTTTGGCCATGTTGCAAAAAACACAAGAAAAATAAAGTGAAAAGGGGATTCTTCGATCAGCACTCTGAATTCATCAGTTCTTTCTCCGAGGTGGATAGCATTTTTCATTATGGGTCCTGTGGAATTGTCTCGGGTCATATTGATTAGAGTAGCTAAGTCTTTCACAGTTGATCATTATAATATTGCTTTTACTGCATATAATGTTATTCTGGTTCTGTTCACTTTAGCACAGTCCTTATTAAGAGTATAGTATGCTCTTAATAAATGCTTTTTTCATGCATGCATGCATTCATTCATTCCTTGGTAGATATGTCATCAAAGAACATGAACAAATAGTTCTGAAAAAAAGATAACAATTACCAACCATATGAAAGTTTGCTCCAAATAACTAATGATAAATCAAAAATAAAATAACTCTGAAATAAAGTATAAATTTTATTGTATAGATGGCAAATTTACAAAGTTGTCAAAAGATAGAAATAGTTGGTATTGGAGGAGATACAGGAAGACAGGCATGCTAATATGGTACTAGGGGAACTATGGAATGGTCCAACCATTCTGGAAAAAAATTGGAATTATGTGAGAAAAGTGACTAACTATTCATACCCTCTGACCCAGAGATCCCTCTCCTGAGAATATACAAAAGGAGGCTAAAGAAAGAAAGTTCCTATATATACCTAAGTATTTATAGTAGTGTTTTTTATAATAACAATGAATGAACTAGAAACAAAATGGATGTTAATTGATTGGAAAATGTTGGGACATATAGCATATAAATGTAATGGGACATTATTTTCACTGTAAGAAATGGATGACTATAAAGAAGAGAAACAAAGGAAGGCTTTTATGAACTTATGCAAAGTTAAGAACACAGAATCAAGAAAATTATACACACAATGACTACAATAATGTAAATAAAAAAACCAATAAAAATTACATGTTTTATATTTATAATGATCAATCTTGAACCTAGAGAGGAGCTGAGGAAATACATCAAATTTCTTTATTTAGAGAGAAGCGAAATAGGGGCAGCTAAGTGGCACAGTGGTTAGAGCTCCAGCCTTGGAGTCAGAAGGACCTAAGTAAAAATCCAGCCTCAGACACTTGACACTTAATAGCTATGTGACCCTGGGAAAATCATTTAATCCCGATTGCCTCACCAAAATGCAAAAATAAAAAATAGAGAGATGGAGATTATAGGCATAGAATATTGCATACATTGTCAGCTAATGACTACTGCACCAGTTGGTTTTGTTTGAATATTTTTCTTTATTACAAGTGAAGATTTTCTGGGGATAAATGGGAAAGGGTTATATCCAGATAGTTCTATAAAATAGCATCCCACACAGAGGGTGGCTTAAAGTGTTGGGTTCTCATTCAGGCTTTTCTGATTGGTTTCCCCTTCTAGTGTAAGAGATAAGTAGGTGTCAATTATTTACTTTCTTGCTAGGAATCTGGAAGTTTCCAGAAAGGAAGTTTCCAGATATATGAGGTTCCAGAGAAGAAGACATGAGTCAGGAGGGGGCAGGCATTTAGAATAGAGAGAGGCTGTCACCAGAAAACAAAGGGACCCCACCCCCCACCAAAAAGTTTTTTTGACTAGTACAACAGGACAAAGCAGGACATTCATACATTATCATAGAGTTTACTTCATACCTTGTTAACAATAGTGTCAGGAAAAAAGTCCTCATCACTGTGGCGCAAAGGGCACTTTATACCTTAGAATCGTAGGATTATACAGTCATAGATTTAAGAGCTGGAAGAGACCATAGAGATCATTGAATCCAACCATCCAACCGAGAGGGGGAAACTGAGGCACAAAAACGTTAAATGAACTTGCCTAGGGTCACAAAGCTAGTAAGTATCTCCTTTCAAATTTCACTTGTATACATCGTATCATATAGTCAGGAAACTTTAAAGCTTAACTTTACATTTGGTAACTGTCTATAGCTGTCCATTTTAATCAGTCAGCTTCACCTGGAAGCAGAGGAGTTCAATTCAGTTCAACAAATAATTACTAATAATAATTACTAAGCAACTACTATGTGTATAGACACTGCAACTATATGTAGGTTCCAGAGATACAAAGACAAAAATGAAACAGCCGCTGGAAACAAGATGCTTATATTACACTGGCGAGATAGAAGTATCTTTTGATGTAATCTGAAGAAATATTGTAAATGATCCATGAGTTGACCTTTGAAAAAAAGACAAGGATTCTGAGAGGTGGGTAAGGAGGGACTTATGAGAACATGTAGAGGACATGATATGGAGCCACTAGAGGTTTTTGACATTGTCAGATATTTGCATATAAAAACTTACATTGTCTGCTATAGAAAGGAGAGATAGGTAGATAGGTAGAGAAGAAAGAGACTGGAAGTAAAGAAAACAATTTGGAAGCTGTTTCAGCGGTTCAGGACGGAGGTGCCAAAGGTCTTAACTAGCATGGTGGCTAAGTGAACAGAGAGAAGGGGATAGGTACAAGAGATTTTGTAGAGGTTGAATTGGCAAGACTTGGAACCTACTTGGAATGAAGTGTTTGAGAGAAGGAAGGGTCAAGCATGCTTGAGATTATATAACTAAGTGATGGCATCACTTGCTACAGAAATAGGAAAGTTTAGATAAGGGTCAGATTTAGGAATGATAAGATAACTAGGTCGCTTTTGGACATACTAAGTTTGAGAGGACTATAGGACATCCAATAAGAGGTGTCCAGTAAGATGTCTGGGAAGCATTGGTGATATAGGATTAGAGTTCAGGAAAGAGATTTGGGCTGACTTACAGGTTGGAGTAGTTTTTAGAGGCACTGGAAAGTTATCTTGCCTTCTTCTTACCCAGTCTTGGCCAATATCTCATCAATCATCTTGTGCTGATTACTTAAATTCCACTGTAAGTTGGGGGACACTGACTTTTTTGTTTTGCTATAGAAGAAGGAATATAAGACAAAGTTGTCACCTCTGTTCCTCCTCCAGTGTTTCTAAGTGTCTCCTTCGAATCTATAGAAGTTGCAAGACAGTTTGCTTGGGGTGGTGTTGCTGATGGTGGCAGCAATATGAGAGTAGCTGAAAGACCAAAAAAGTTGTCCAGTATTCATTCCAAGCCTTAGAAAAACTCAGTGGAGAGTAGGAACTACTGAGAAGAGTATATAGTCCAAACCCTGAAGCAAGGAAAAAATAAAATAGAATAAATATAACTAGGAGTGAGAATTGGGGACCTTTCTATGAATGAGAAAAGTGAGTAAACAAGGTCTTAACAGCACCTTAGGTAGGATGACAATATGAAAACCACCCCCCACCCCAACAAAAATCACAAGATGTAATGACTTGTTCTGAGGTCCAGGGAGCCATCACAAAAGAGCAATAATAGTTTAGAAGAAGAATCAGCTGTAGCAGCAGATAACAGGTTCAGGTTGAACAGACTGTTAAGACTTTATAAACTGTGTGTCCTTCCATATGGTCCTGAAGGAGGCATTTAGTAATATTAGAGAGGATGAGAACTGGTGACCTTTGTCTTGCATTGCTGTTACTCACCAACGCAAAAAGTCCCTTTCTCTTTTCACTAGCATTGGTCCCTAATTAAAATTTCTCTGAAAACAGTAATGTGTTATACTAGTGTAGCAACAGATAATTCTGGCTAGACACAGAGTGAGTGGGTACAAACTTCTCCCTCTACATAGGTCTCTAGCTTTGTACCCATATATAGAGACTGGGTTCAGTCCTGAGAGAATCTGATTCCTAAAGAAAAGAAGCTTGCTTTTTTTTTCTTTTCTTTTTTTTTTTGTTGTTGTTGTTGTTGCAAACTCTGGTTGTTTATACCTCACTCAGAGTTTCTGGGGAGAATCACAAAGCTTAGTTTTGGCTCATCTCTAGCATCTCCTCAAAACGGACAGCTGAAAGGTACTCAATGTAAAATGTAGACCAGATATAGGACAGCTATTTTTCTCCCACCCAGAAGAAATGCTTAAAACATGAAAAACTCATAAGTGCACATTGACAGACTTAAACATGACACAATAATTCAGTAATTGCCAAGTACTGGTCCATGATCCTTTAGTAGGGGCCTCAGTATATAAATGTATAACCTGGCACTATGAAATAACAGGACTGATGTTCATAAGGCACATGATAATGACAGCTAGCATTTATATAGTGTTTTAAAGTTTGCAAAATATTTTACATACATGATCTCATTTGATCCTCATAACCATCCTGTGAGGTAGACACTATTATTATCCCTATTTTTACAGATGAGGAACCAGAAGCTGATAGAGGCTTAGTGACTTATTCACCCAGGGTTACTCAGAATATTAAAACATGAAGCACTTAGTGGGATTGTTGGGTAGGCATTTACCTTCACCTTGGCTTCGCACTGTCCCAGCAGCTCCGTTGGAGTCCATTTTTTTTTTCTGGCATACCCCACCAGGAGTTGTGCTTATCCTCCTGGCAGTTGTCTTCTACAAGAAGCCCTTTAGTGAAGACAGATGAATACGGTAAGTGGCGGTGACTAAGAGATCCAGGAGCTTCCAACTTCTCAGACTCACAAGTTTGCCTCTAGAAATGTTCGCCTTAGAATCATGGTGCTCAAATATTTACCTGTGTTCAGACAAAGAAACACAAAACAGAAGAGGTAGCCAGGGTCTTGAGATCCTGATTCAGGCTTATTTGGAGGAACACCTACTTAAGGGACCATATGCAAAGAATTGCCATTTCTTCTGTCTCTTCCATCTCTCATATGACAGCCCAGAGAATATCCATAGTATACTTTACAAGGGAAGGAAGAAGAGAGATCCGAAGAGGGTGGAGTGACTCACTCTTAAGGTCTGCATAGTTGGCAGATTTTCCTGGATCAGTGGCTAATCCTTTCTGACACAACTTTAATGCGATTGTTTCACCCAAATCTTTTAAAAGGGATCTATAAGAAAGTGACAGGGCAAATGTGTCCTTGGACAAGACGGAGGCATACTCCATGGGGCCAGAACAGATCTATAGTGTTCCCCTTATTGTACCCATTACACTGTAATAAGCCATTTAAACTGAATGTTTATTAGATATTTTTCAAAGTAACAATTAGTTAAGAGCATATTTTGATAGAAAAATAGTGAGCATAAAAGAGCAGATTTTGATAGAAAAATAGAGTGAGCATAAAAGAGCAGATTTTGATAGAAAAATAGAGTGAGCATAAAAGAGCAGATTTTGATAGAAAAATAGAGTGAGCATAGTTATCTATAAAGAGGTAATTGTATTAGAGGAAGAGAAGGTTTTGCAAACATTTTCTTCTCCATAGTTTTGCCTACTGCCTGTCCTGATTCCAATGAAAGAAAGTAATGGAAAAAAATACATGGGAACATAATACAGAAACTATATAGAGGTACAGAATATTGTTGTGTATAGAGGGCCCAATTTTGGAGTCAAGAAAACCTGTAAGAAAGACCTTGTAAATTCTCTTACAAGTACTAGGTATGTGATGATGGATGGGTATTTTGATATCTCATTGTCCAAGGTAACTCTCTAGAACTTCAGTTTTCTCATCTGTAAATAGAAGGGTTTGAATTAGATTTTTTTTTTCTAAGCTCCTTTCTAGATCTAAATGGGTGATTCTGTATGCATCAGTAGGGAGAATTTCCACATGGAGAGTTCTCTATTCAGACAAGATCACAGGTACTAGCCAAATACATAGAATCAAAGGAATTTGAAATTGGAAGAAACTTTTGAGAAGTTCAGGTTGAATTTTTTTTTTTTTTAGGACTGTGAAGGATTGCAGTAATATGTTATGGAGACATCTTTACTTGATAAAGGAAGATAATTACTTGTGAACTGGTTTTGGTTATCACTAAATTCCTTCCAAAATCTGTGAACCTATGAGAAGATTTAAGAGTATTTTATATTTTCTTCAGAATCTATTTCTGCTGAATTAATCTCATCTAAATTAGTTGGTCAAATTGATTTTATGTATGTATGTATGTATGTATATATATATATATATATATATTTTTTTAACAGGATACTGGTTAAAGCAAGATGAACAAAGGTCTTTTCAAAGTTGTCAACATTGTCTTCTGCATAATCTTCAGGCATGGACCACCCTGGATTCATGTGCTTAAATTTCTAGGGCAGAGCTACAGGAGTAAGGCTGTAGACCAGAGGACGCAGACAAGGTGTAGCTTTCCTAGCCATCTGCCAGAGTATGGAATTCTACCACTAGATTTTCATTTTTCTCTTCAACTCTTTCTCTTTCTTTCTCTCTCTCTCTCTCTCTCCCTCTTTCTCTCTCTCTTTCTAGCCATGGATCCTCATTAACCACTTGCTAAAATAAAATAAAATACTTCTGGGAGGAGTAACAAAATAAGCTATCAAGAATTTACACCTATATAGAGGGGACTCCAGCTAATGAGAGCCCCGTCCTCATAGCATCCTTTGAAGATGGGGCTCTCACTGTCTACTCTTCCCCCCCTCCAAATCAAATGACCTAAGTCAAAGATTAAAGGGAATTCAACAAAGGGTAGATAAATTTTAATGTGGGGAGGGAACAAGAGTCCTGAATATTGAAATGCTTTTATTTGTTCATGAATATTAAATCTACAATAAAAGAAAATTTAAAAATAAAAGAGGTGGGGTGGGGAAGTGAGCGAAAAAAAAAAAAAACCTTAGGAAGAAATAAACAGCGAGAGCGAACCTTTTGCCCTTTCAACTAGCTGTCCAAAGGCGAGGCGAAAACACAGGAGCGCATGCGCCTGCTACCAGGCCCCGGCCCCCGCCCCCACCCAATCGCCTTAGTTATCACCGAGCCTCCCGCGTGGGGGAGCTCTTACGTCACTCCGGAGCGCCGCGGTGCGTGCCAAGGGCGGGGGATTTGAACGGTTGGAAGAGAGCTCAGCGCTCCCGACAGGCTCGCTGAGACTTGACTTTCTGGTCCCCCTCGTTTGACTGACCCCAGTCGGCCGCCGAGTGCGGGGCTTTGGTGCCGGGCAGGAGGAGGACGAGGAGAGAATGGCGGCGGCAGTGGTGGCGGCGGCCCGGGTGTTGAAGCGCAAGGCTCCCCGAGGCTTCCTGAGGAACCTCATCAAGCGACGGAAGCCTCAGCTGCACCTCAAGTCTGGCGTCGACCTGTGGGTGAGGGCTCTTCCGGCTCGGGCCGAGGCGGAGGCGGTGGGTGGGAAAAGGCAACGGAGGAGGAGGAGGAGGAGATGGAATGAACCCCTTCCTACCCCCGCCCCCGCTTTGTTTCTTACTGACCTGGGCTGCCGCAGGCCTACCCATCCCCTGACCCGGAATTTAGGTCTTTCCCGCCCGCCGTGGGGGGTCGGGGGTGGGGTGGGGGTGAGGGTAGGGGGAGGAAGAGTCAGCTGTTTTTCCGCCAGACGTGGGAGGTTGTTCAGACCGACGTAGAAGTCTTTGGGAAACTAACGAGAACTTTTCCACTTGTTTATTTCCACAATCTTTTAAGTATAGTGACTCATATCTGTTTAACACTTTAAGGGTTACAAAGCATTGAACTGACAGCAACCTTGTGAGGTAGGGGGTGCTGGTGATATTACCTCATTTTGCAGGTGAAGGAACTTCTGGGCCAGATAGGTCATAGAATCACAGGTTCAGAGCTGGATGAGTCCTTAAAGGTCATCTCAAACCGCCCCGCCCAAAAGATGAGGAAACTGAACCCCAGGGGACCTAAATGACTTGGCCTGTGGTTGCACAGCCAGTGAGAGGTAGAGCAGGATTTGAGCTTGGTCGCAGGTTTTTTGCATCTGAAATCAGTGCTCTTTCTGCTGTACTGAGGCAGAACAGATTATCACTTAATATACTACCTGTTGTGACAAGCTCATTTTAGTATCTTTCTTCTTAAGACTACTTCTCTCCCCCCCTTTCATCCATTTTTATTTCCCGTTATCCCAAAGTAGACACCTTGTGTTCTTCATTTGTGAATAACTTCATGATTTTCCTCCAGAAATCTTTGCTTAAGTCTTAAATATTTTGCTCATTTAAATATTTTTCACTTGTTCTCAATTTCATTAAGAAGAAAAATCTTGTAAAGATTCGTATTCTTTTATTAGTTTTTCTGCTTTACTTGGTTCCCCAGCCAACCTCACCTGGAATTCTTCACCTGTATGTACACCCTTCCAGGGGACTACTTCAAATCTGATTTCCTCAGTGAAACTTTCCATGTCATGAACACCAGCTTTAGTTCATATAGGTGTCTCTCCAGCTTCTTTGAACTTTGTATCATTAACAATTTGTCTCATCTCTGTTAGTTAATAATGCACTTGTTTGCTTTCACTTTTTGTCTTAAATATAATCTTATTTCCTAACTAGATTGTAAGTTCCTTGAGGGCAGAGATAATGTGCTGAACACCAAGTGGACACAAATACTTGTGTGTAGCTTGACTTCTTGATTTCTGTTGCCTTGTATTCTTACTAAAATAGGCAGTACTGACTCTTACTTTTTTTAGTTCTTGCCTTTTTTTTTGCCTAGGGGCAGTCCTAGTAAATACATCTATTTAATCTAACTAAATCTTGTAGCTCTCATGTGCCTCCTTTGGGTTTTTGATTTATTACAGATGAATGCTCTATGATGATTTCTGTGTGTATGTTTAATGTAAAATTTAAAAATACTGTAACAGTGGGTAGAAAAAGAAAGCTTGACCCAGTAGAACCTTTTGTGTCAAATGAGAATAGTAAACTAAACTGATGTGGTAGTAGGTATCTTACAAAGCCCTTTGTTATTTAATGGATTGTCCTTTTAAGTAAGGTAAAGCATTGTTTGAAAAAAAAAGAATCATAGAGAAAATTTTACTAATTTTTCAGTTTTAAATACCTAGTTTCAGGTCTGCAACTCTGCCTGCTGGGCTTCACCAGGATGTCATAACAGCACCTCACATCAGAGTTGAACCTTTTTATCTCTTCTATAATTTATTTTCCTCTTTTGACTTCATTTAGCTTCTCACATTTGAAATATTGGTGCTATCTTTGGCTCTTCCTTCTCCCTCCACTCCCACATCTGTCCACTTAGCAGATCTTATTGATTCTACTTCTGAACCAATTTTCGATTCTCTCACCTATTCTCCTTTGTAATCTTGTTCCAACCTAACTTCCAGATTTATTTCATGTTATTTCTTTTCACATATTTCACATATTCACAAACTGGCCTACTTGCTATTTTCTGAGCCAAGCTTCTCAACTTTTGCCTCCGTAGGCTATTCCCCATAACTTGAATGCATACCTTCCTCACTTCTACCTTATAGAATTCTTAGGTTACCTCAAGTCTTAATTGAGGTACATCCTCATAAAAGAAATCTTTTCTGATACTCCTTTGTTGAGAACTCTCTCTTTTTAAATTATCCTTAATCTATCTATGTGAAAGTTGTATCTCCCCAGCAGGATGTAAGCTATTTGAGGATGGGATCTATGTATCTCTTGTGCTTGGCACACAATAAACAATAAATGCTTGTTGAATTGAACTAAATAACAAAAACCTTGAGAGGTAGGTAATGCAAGTATTATTTTTCCAGTTTTACAGATGAGGAAACTGAGACTAGAAGATTTAATGACTTAGCTTTAGTCACTTGGCCAATAAATATCAATTGGGACATGAACCCTGCTCTATTGACTCTTAAGTACTATGTCGATATTGGATCTAATTTTCAAGCATTTTATTGAAATTATATTTAGAATATTTTACTATTTTCATGTGAATAACTGTTGAAGGGGAGATAGAAAGGACTTTGTGACAGTTTCGATCTGAAAGTGTGAGCCTAATTGAATAAGACATTCATACATGAAATAGCTGGATACCAATCCAAGGAAGCCTAGTTTATTAGTAGTATTAACTAGGTCCCTAGTTAATCAACAAGAATTTTTTAAGTGAATACTATCCTCTAGGCACTGTGCTAGACACTTGGGGTCACAAATAAAAGAGTGAAATAGTTCTACCTCCCTGAGAGTTTGGAGACAAGGTGTGCATATATGTACATATATGGCAAAATGTATAGAAAGCTGATAACAGGGAAATTTTAAAGGGGAGGGCTTTAGTATCTGGCTTCATGCTTAAAGTGGCACTTGAGGCAGATCTTGAAGGAAACCAGGAATTGCAAGTGGCAGAAGTAAGGAATGAGATAATTCTAAGAATCGGGGACAGTGAAGGCAAAAGAGATAACTGCTATGTTGTAGGAGAACTGGGAAAGAACAAGATAAATAACAGGTTAGACTTAGGGATCGAAAAATTTAATAGGGGTAAATAAACAAGGCCTGAAATTTAAAAACATAAACTGTGGAAATATAGACTAGGAGATGTCTGACCGAATAGCAGTTCAGATGGAAAAGACTGATTTCAATTGACTGCTGCTTAACAGTAGTGTGAAGTAGCTGACAGGAACTAGAAATGTTTATATTATGAAGAGAAAAGAAATTCAGGTGGTGAGGATCATGATAGTTTTCAAATAATTTGAAGAGACATCTTTTTAAAGAAAGCTTTCATATATATATATATATATATGTATTTGGTATAGCTTGAGAAGGCAGAATTAGGACTTGGGTCATTGGGTCATCATTTGCATGTTATATGGAAGTTTTATGCATTGAGTAGCTGGTTGGACAAAACTTAAGTTAATTTTCAACTTTAAAAATTTTGTTGTTGGTTCATAAGAAAAGTGAATCATCAGAAATTCACAAAACCCATGTCTTTCCTTGATTCTTTTGTTTTCAAAATTCAAGGGGGCCAAGAAGAAAAAATAAAAATAAATAAAAACCCTTCAATTATTTTAGAAACCAATGATTTTATATCTATATGTATTAGCCTAAATATTGCAAGTCATTAGATATATGTAAAGGCAATTTTTGTTTACCCTTATCTGAAAAATGAGGGAGTTAGGTAGATTAGGTAGGATTTCTGAAATCCTTTCCATCCCTACAGTTCTGTGATTTTTAATATTTTCATGAAGGTTATTGTATTTTCCTGTAGAAACAGTGGTATTTTTGGGGTTTATATTCCTGTTAAAGGACTATGCATCAAAAAATCAGATGTAACTATCTCATAAAAGATATAACTATAGACTTTTGCACCTTAAAATAATATTCAAAATAGGCATAAATGTTCTGTGACAGTGATTATACAAGAGATCCCAATGTACATAAATAGAATTCTACCAATTTAATAAAAATCTAATAAATTAGTTATAATTATTGACTATTCTTAAAATTTAGAAAGGCTTTGGGGAAATGATCTAAGTGATACACAAATTTTTTAAATGTTGTCTGAAGAAATTTGAATTAATGCCTATTTCTCAGATTTCATGGCAGTAAGCAGAATCGTTCAAAATACTATTGAATTTGAATTTTCTCTCAAAGTGATAGATTTGCTAATTTTTCCTTTTGTTGATGATAGTAGAGATGTTTTTCCTACTCTGTGAATTTGGATATGTCACTTGGTCTCTTTATAATTGGGATAGTAATTCATGATCTACCTGCCTGACAAGGGTGGTTCTGAACCATGCTAGACTAAGAATTGGTGGGCTACAGGAACACCATCACAGGGAACTGTCACAAGAGGCTCCATACAGTATATTAAATGGAGTGAGGTGTAGGAGAATATACAGTATGATAGGCAGGCAAAATCTGGTATTGTCCATCCCCAGGTTAGGGAAGCAGGTTAATGTGATGAAGGTGAAGGTGAAGGGAATCTTGGGGAAGAGAGATCAAGTTCAGAACCTTTTACTCTTTTGTACTGTGGGGCTTTTAGGACCCTGAATCAATTGTCCATTTTGCCATAATATTTGTTAGGACATATTTATAAATGTGAACTGCTAATAAGGCTGGTCACCAATTTCCCCATCTCTTCTTCTCAGTATATTCAGGCAAATGGTTGTCCATCTGACTAAAGCAGTGCCACCAGTAGTGTTAAATTTCTATTTCTGATTCTTTATTATGGAGAAATTGTATTTTGTTGACATACTCTCAGTTCCTTAGGAAAGTATAAAAGAAAGAAATTTAGAAAGTTGCTTTAAAAAGTATCTTTTATATGTAGAATTGTTCTAATAGGATTCTGACTAGCCTACCATGTTACCTAGACAGCCAGAACTAAATTTAGGTGTGAATTGTACTGACTTGTCATTTTGAAATTGTTAAAGGTGAGAACCACATTTTCTAATGTAAGTAAGTGGCATATGCACACACATATTTAGGCAGATTATTTAGCATTAACAAAATCTTGGTTTTTGAGGTAAATTTCTTTTTCATTGACTATTTAGGATTTTTAAAATTTTCCTTAGTATAAGTTGCATGTTAGCAATTTTTTGATAAAGTTCTAGGTATTAATGACAGAGATTGGGAAGATCTTAAGAGAAGGTTCCCAAGATGTTAAAGTAAGAATGAACAAGTTATTAAATGTTGAAAACTATTAGGTATCTTTTGGGTACAATATGGGTAAAATGGTTTGCCCTATATATAAAGACAAATTACATTCAGGAAATATGGCTACTATATTCATGGGCCTCTTTAAAAGACTTGGAGAAGTAAGGAAATGACTTAGACTCCTTTCTGTATTTTCAGTTGCTGTTATTTCCCCACTATAGAAACTACTAGAAGGAACAGAATTGGTCTCTTTGTCCCTCAGGTTCTTATCTCTTTCTCCATTTATCTGAGGTAAATGAGGTGTTCCTGTATATTGAAGCTGACTTTGAAAAAAAGAATTTGCATATTTTCCATTATTCTTTCCCACCTCAATTGCTTATTACATAGTCACAGGATATGTGTTTATTAACCAATGACAGTGTTAGTTAGTAGGTAAATTTTTAATGATTTTAGCAGAGTGGAATATTTTTTTTTTCTTTTTGGTGAGGCAGTCGGGGTTAAGTGACTTGCCCAGAGTCACACAGCTAGTAAGTGTCAAGTGTCTGAGTCTGGATTTGAACTCAGGTCCTCCTGACTTCAAGGCCAAAGCTCTATCCATTGGGCCACCTAGCTGTCCCTGGAATATTTTTCTGTTTTCAGATTGCTTTCCTTACATATAAAATTTAAGTGTTTTGTAGACAGCTGGATGTGACCCTAGGGATTGTCTAGTACTACTTGCTCATTTTACAAATGATAAAGTTGAAGCCCAGAGAAGTTAAGGGACTTGCTTATGGCCACATGTGATAGTGTGATAGGGCCTACTAGTAGGCCAGCCTAGGTTCTCTGATTACAAATCTGGTGTTCTCTCTAATAGAACATGGATGTACTACCATCTATGTTCTAAAACAATACTAGTACAACGGAAAGAACCCTAGACTTGGATTTGACTCCTGGCCTTTACCATGGGCACATCACTCAGTGCTTTCTAGCTTTAGACTTTGTGGCTTTATGTGGCATTTGCTGTCTTAAGAAGTTGTTATAGATTTAAAGAAAAAAAGAGTTCAAAAAAGGGTTAGATGAATTCATGGATGAGAGTTTCCATATGAGTTAAGAGAAGTTATAGAAATTCAGGTATATCCTTAATGTTTGAGGAATGTTTGAGGATTTGTTACCTTCAAATGAATAGGAGAAGTTGAAGAGCATTGTGGATAGTAGTGTTGCCCCATTCCTGAGACCCTCTACTGCTCAGCCCTTTCCGCCCCTCTTATCCATCATCCAGGGGAGCAACTGTTGTGGAGATACAGCCTGGTAATGGCCTTGGCACCTGCTGTAGCCCCTACCTTCTTAGTACTGTCAAATGGTTCAACATCAGAAATGAAAATTGTTTTATTAATGAGAATTATAGTAAAGATCACATGACTTGCAGCTGAAAACGTCACATATATGTTTTCTTTCCCTATTTGAATGTGAGCTTTTTGAGAGCCCAGATTGTTCTGTTTATATCATTAATGCTTAAAATAGTGCTTTGCATCTAGTAGGCATTTAATGTATGCTTTTTAATTCATTTTAACTACACTCGCTCATAATTGCCTTGGTGCTTAAAGTTCACCTAGGTCATGGTTCACTGACTGTTTAGGCTTTGAGTCTGACCCAGTGTCCTGCTTTATCAACTTTCATGGTCATCCTGAAAAATTGACATATTTTTCTATCAGGGCAGTAGCTGATTCAAGAGTTGATCAGAGATTTCAGCCTCCTCTGCTGCATTGCTTCTAGAAAATGGAATGAGTACTGCTCACTGGGTTTCAGCCCATCTTCAAAGTCACTACGTTGAAGATCTTTGCTTACGTTGATGAAATTTTTTTTTAATTGCTAGATTTTCCTATTAAAAAAATGGCTAATGTAGACTCTGCATATTTTTCGCTTGTTCTCAGTTTCATCAGGAAGGAAATTCTTGTAAAGCTGTGTATGCTTTCATTACTTGTTTCTTTGCAGTAGTTTGTCTCCCTAGCTATCTCACCACACAATTGCATCATTTTTTTTTAAACGAATCTCTTTTATCATCTTACTAAACTTTGCAGAACTCCTTTTATTTCTTTTAAACTCATGTTTTCCTTTTTCCTGGCATTCTTCCATAGCTAGTGTTCTTTCAGATTCTTTTCATCTTAATCCACTGAAATAATTTACCACCTCCTGTTCTTTTGTATCATTTAGTTGCTCTTCTTTTCTATTCCTGTTTTGTGAAAAACATTGGACTTTACTTTGGGACCCATTTCACGTGCCATTTTTGCAATCTTGCTGTCCTGTGAGCATTTCTCCTGTGAAAACTATTTAACTTCCCATTAGTACCAGAAGAAATCATTCTTAGTAAACAAGTTTGGGTGGACTTTTTGTGAAACTATTTTAAATATCAGGAAAATGCCTCTGAATGTGGAGACTAGGCAATTGTTTATCAAATGACTCTGAATATTTTGTAAAGATAACACTTCAAATCAGTACCTAGTAAATCATATCATTTGAAGGAAATTTTTGGCCTTTCAGAAGTGTTGTTTTTGAAATTTGAATTGATCAAATTTATCCTTACTGTTGATATATAGTAATCTGGTCTCATTGAATATCATTGTATTGCCACTTTTGTTTGAAATGTTCTCGTGGTCATAGTTTAAAAATTAAGCAGATATAAAATAACTTGGATAGTTTGCAAAGCAAATTGTAAGACTGGACAATTAACTAGGATCTATATTTATAGAAAATATACATCATTAGGCAGCAATTATTTAATATACATATAGTTGCATTAATTCAATTCAACAAACATTTAAGTACTTACTATGTGCAACGCAGTAAACTTAGTGCTGGCAATACAAAGATAAACTGCCTGCTTTCAAGAAGCTTATGTTGTGAGTGCAGGTATATAGCATATACACAAATAAACAAATATGAAATAATTTGAAGAGTAAAAGGCAATATGGTACAGTTGAAAGAGTACTGTGTTTAGTGTCTGAAGGCTTACTACCTGGGCAAGTCACTTGGCTTCTATGGGTTGCTGCTTGCTCATCTCTAAAATGATGGAGCTGTATTGCATGATCTCTTAGATCCCTTCCATTGCTACGTTTTTGTGAACTCTTGTAGTTGAATAACTGAATCCCTTTGAATTAGGTTCAAAGTGGATCTGCCTTACTGAATTGAAGTGAGTAGCTTTAAAAAGATTTAAAAGTGGTTAAAATGATTTCATGATAATGCCAAAGGTGTCTCTTTAGGTTGTAGGTCTAGATCTGGAAGGGACTTCAGAGGATATCTGATCTAGTCCTTTCATTTTTAAGATGAAAAAAAAATTGAGGCTCATAAAAGTTTTGAGGAATTATTATTCCTTAAAAAAATTGTTATAGTAAGTAGTATGAATCAGTGTCAGATCTGGAGTTTAGGACCTGGGTTAAAATCCTGACACTGCCACTTATTTTCCTGTATGACCTGAGCAAATCATTTAATTTCTCTGGGTCTTGATTATTGTTAATAGGATTTGGGGTTTGTAATAAAAAGGAAAAGGCAAAGTGATTCAATTTAAACTGCTGGATTTGACGTTAGAATTTAAATCTGGTCTTTGCTACTTACTATATAACCTTGGGCAAGTCACTTGATTTCTCTGAGTTTCAGTTTTTCATCTCTAAGAGGAAGGGTTTGATTTAGTAACCTTTAAGTTACTTTTAAGTTCTAAACTTTTATTATTTAGGGTCATTCATCAATTGCTTATTAAGAATTACTGTATTAGGACAGAAGCAAACATTGTATAAGATCTTTATCCTCTAGTACTTAGAATTTTCTGTGTCAAATGGAAAGAGTACTGGACTGAATCATTAAGACATGAATTTTTATTCCTGGCTCTGCCTCTTAATTGCCTTATGATTTGGATTCTGAGTAACTTGGAAAGTGATGTTACCAATAACAGGAATATTTGTTGGGTGGATCATATAAAATAATGCACACAAAAACACTTTGAAAACCAGAGCACTGTCCATATGTAATATGGTATTTATTTCAGTATATCAACTAATTTTTTAAGTACTTATGGAAATTTTTAAAATTTTTTCTTTATAAGGTACACTTGAACTGTTTACTATTTCTTCATCGATTAGCAGAAGAAACCAGGATGCAGGCTTTTCAGAACAAGAGTAGGATAATTAAGGACAAGCATATTATTGCTGCAGCAAAGGTAACAATAAAAGCTGACTTTCTTTTCTTGGGCACTAAGAGCATGGAATAGGTCAACTGTTCCTGCTTCCTCCTTTATCCCTCAACCTCTGGCTAATTATCCCTCAATTAATAGTAGGTGATGGAGTCAAAGCTTGTGTTCAGCATATTACTGAATTTAAATTGAAGTTGAAATAAATTAGATTTTCCATATACACATAGTTTTGTCTTAGGTGGGGAAGTTAAGTACCTACAGGATTCAAAAATGAACTGACTTGATACTAATTTAGGAGAAAAAATTTGATTTTTTTTGGTCATTTTAGTTCTAACAGCACTTTGACATTACAAGATTATACACTTATATGGTTATAACCAAGATAACAAAACTCACATTCATAGATTACATCAAAACATACATATATTCTCCTTGATCATGAGAAATATTTTTTAATGTTTACTTAATTTTTAAACTGGGAGTCAAGATTATATCTGTATAAACTTGTGAAGGATATTTATATGACAAAGAAGCTACTTCTTCCTAAATTCATTTTTTTATAATGTTCCTACCCAAGCTTAATCTCTGGGCGTAGTTCCATTTGATGTTTGGGTAAAGGTGAAGTCAATGTGTATCCAGATATCTTAAAGCTCATTCTATTGTTGGGAAAAGTATGATCATAGAAGCCAGCTGCACATTTCTGGACATAAAAGTGGGATGGTTTTAATCTCTTCAAGGTGTTTTTTTTTCCTTTTTTAATTGAAAATGGGCTGTGATTTAAAATATCGGTATAATTCAGTTATGCAACAGGTTATTTTCTATTTCTTGAAAAGTTGTATAAAAGTTAAATATTATAAATTAAATACTTAATACATGGGAGAATCTTTAAGGAGAGCTGATTGAGTACTTTTATAAATTGAAGACTATTTTTGAAATGCAAATAATCACAAATCACAACAGTTTTGCAAAATCAAAATTTTGTTTGTTTTTAGTGTGCCCTATCTGTAGAATTCAAGAGACTTTTAGAGGAAAACTGTTCTTGTTGTACCCTTTGGCGTAAGGTTTATATATTAAAGAAATAATACTTTTCTTTTCTTTTTGACAGGTGATTTTAAAGAAGAGCAGGGGTTAGAGCCTAAAGATCATATCATGTGAAACTGTATAACATATTCTCTCATTAAATGTTAATAAAGAAGTGTGCTTTTTAACAACTTTTTAAAACGTGGAACGTTAGCTACATAAGTTGGGCAAGCTTTTGTACTGCTGGTGTTGAATTTGTATACTGGGTATATTCATTTATTCATTCTACAAATGTTTATTAAGTACTTCTACAGTGTTATTTCTTAGTGAAAGTACAAAGATAAATAGAACATAGCTGTTTTCATAATTGGCACATAAGCTTCTGAGTGTACTTGTGGTCTACTTGTGGTAATGACAGGAACACAAATATGCAAATAAAATATCAGATAGACTTTAACACTTTTATGAGGCTCATGTTTTTTTTAAAGGTGGCCAGTGTTAGTTTTTAAAGTTGAAACTTAAAATTTATTGCCATTGCTAAGTTTTATGTTTTTTTCTTTGAAGATAAAAATGATTGCTTACTATATTAAATAACTTGAAGAAATGGTTTAAGGATCAAATGTCTTTAATAATTTAAGTATAGTCTGAGTTTTTTTTTTTAAAACCCTTAAAGTTTGGAGAAAGATAATGTATCATATTCAAAATATATGTGAGAGTCTTATTATTTTGCTGAATTTTTTGAGGATAGGGACTAAAACTGTGATTTTATTGGTTTAAACAGGAAGAAACAAACTCCTTCTACTAATGCAGGTCAGTGCCTTCTTTGCAACTCAGAGTCTTACTAAATTGTACAGAGAACTGAATGCTTAAGTGACTTGCCCAGAGTTACAGAGCCAAAGCCACGTAATAACATTTCATAGGTTGAACCCTGGCCTTCTAGGCTCTGAGGCTAATTCTCTATCCATTATAGCATGCTGAGTATTTCAGAGGATTTTCATTTTGATGACTTGGGAAGTGAACAATATAATTTTCAGATGTACAAAACTTAACCTGTTACGAGAATGTGAATATTTGATATATGTCTACAAAAAAGTTTGTCCTTCTGTATTCAGATTTTTTAAAGATAAAATCAACAAAATGACCCTTTCCTACCACCTAAAGCTTCTATATAAGACCCTGGGCAAGTATGTAACTTCTGTTTGTTTCAGTTTCCTCAACAGGTAAGATGGGGATAATAATAGCACCTACTTCTCAGTGTTGTTTGTGACGATCAAATGAAATAATATTTGCAAAGTGCTTAGGACTGTGCCAGACACATAGTAGGTGCAGTATAAATGCTTATGCCCCTCCTTCCATGTAACTTGTGTCTGGCCTTCTACAAATGCGAGTAATAGGGTTTCTGACTCTAGTAAAAGTATTTGAGGGAACAAGTGCACATTGGGTACAGAACACTTTCACCCCACAAAATATTCATATGACCCAAAGGACTTGTAGGAGTGCCAATTTAAAAAGCATATAAAATGGTTCGTAATACCCCACAATCAATATAGTTCTTCCGTTTTTGTGAGTACTATTCTTTACCATGGTCTCAAAGCCCTCATTGCCCTTCTGATTCAATGTTACTTTAGTTGAAAATCACCTTGAAAAGGAAGTCAGTTTGGAGTTCACAGTGGGGCAACACATGCATCCGTGACTCCAAAAGGGCCCTCAGCACTTTAGAGTGACTTGTTGGTTTGGTTTCCTGGAAGATTTTGAGCTGCTGGGCAGGCAAATCCCTTCTATCAGATCTGCACTGTCCAAATAGCCCACTTTCCTAGTGAGGGGTGGCAAGATCCAGATTCCTTTATACCTTACATTATGGTTCTAGTCTTTTACTGTCCCTCCAATTGAAGGAGCCGCATGAGTGTTGCTCTTCTTTATCTAAGAATTATGGTGTTTTAGAAACTCTTCTAAATAGATCTTTGAATTCTTGGTTATTCCTCAAGGCAATGAGTAAGGATGGTACTGCCCAGATCTTGTGATTTATAGAATCATAGATTTAGAACTAGAATGGACCTTGGAGGTCATCAGGTACCCCTGACTTCCCATCCTACTGCCCACATTTTATAGAAACAGAAGCAGACTGTGCGAGAGTGAAGTGACAGGTGTTTTATTTTTGACTCTTAATTCCAGTGATCTGTCCAATGTGGCACCTAGTTGCCACAGTAACATTAGTATGAAAATTCATTCCACTGCGGTAGTCAGGCAGTTCTTGTTTTACTTGTCTGGGATATTGAAAAGTTAAGTGACTTGCCTCTGGTCACATTGTTGAATGTATCAGAAGTACAACATGAACTCATGACTTCCTGATGCTGGTGCTGATCTTCTTACCTGTGTACCATGTTTCCTCTTACAATCTATGATGAAGAAAGTAAATGAAGTTGTTTTTCAAGATCTCTGAAAGTTACATCACAGAAAGAAGACAAAGAATGCTGGTGTACCCGTTTTCAATTATACAATGGAAAATTTCCATTTACTTGCCTAGAAAACATGAAAATATTTCAGTATGTGTTATGAGATTAATTTTAACGGAATTCTTTCCACAACTTGTTCCCTGGCTATTTAGCAGCTGGACATCTCCTAATGTTCTTTCTTAGAACGGTACAAGTAAACAGATAATGGCAAATACCAACCCAACCCTTTGCCTCCCACTATCACTGACTATTCTTCTTTTGTGTTTTCGTTGGCAGAACACCAAAAAGATGTGGGGTCACATCCTAAATTATAATATAAATGAATTGAAAAATCTGAATTTTATTTTACAGCCAATTTTTCAGGAATATATCCATTATAAATCCATGTAAATTTATGTAAATATGTAATGTATATAATATATTCCTGGTGCAAGCAGGAAAACCAAAGTACTTATACAGATTATAGATTGTATGCTAAAACTACAGTATAGTTCTTTTTACATTTTTCTTGGAATTGAAGCAACATATTGGGATTAGTGGAGTAGTAGTCTAAATTGAAAGAAATAAATTTACCAGGCTATTACTTTTCATACCTTAAGGATTCATATCTGGCGTTGTTAAAAGAGCTTTGCTTGTTTAATGAATGTGTTCAACAGATTTTCTGAGAATTTGCTTTTAAGACCCAGAATGGAATACTTAACCAAATTTCTAATAAATATAACCAAAGGAAATAGCTATGTTAGCAGCATTGGACATAGATTCTAGGAAGAAGTGTGGATTTTTGGGAATTATAAATTCCAGTTATGTAAATATGAGGATTTATCATACTTAAGTTAAAATTATCTTCTTGTAAAATACTGGAAAGCAAATATGTCATATAGTAGTTGAAGGGAGCTAGACTGTTATTGGAGGATGAAGGCAAGGATAAAATCGGAGGTGGAAGATACTTATAAAGTCATTGAGTTTAACCCATACCTGAACAAAAAGCCCTCTAAAACACTACTTAGCTCTAATAGTGAGGAAGAAAATTCCTCTCCTTAATTCAAGCTTACATCTGTCTCTTAATTTAGCAATTATTTATTAAAAGCTATGAACTCAATTATTTGCAAGGCACTTTGCATTCTCACCCATGGCTTCAAGTTCTGCCTTATGGAGCCAGTCACAAGAAGTCTTAACTTTTCTTTCATGTGGTAGCCTGTACCTCATTCCCTGATAGTAATTTTTTTTTTTGTTCTAGTCTTTCAGGAGCAAAGATTTTTGTTTGCAGAGAAACAAACAAAACCACAATTGAGTGTTTTTATTATCTGCTATTGACTTACCCTTGTCCCTTCACCCATGACAGAAACCCTTCTACTTTATTTGAACCTATTTTCTTTGATTTACCTTAAAAACAATCATTTTTATTGTCCTTAGCATTTCGTACCTTGCTTTCCTCAGCTCATTCTGAACTTTTAACATTCCTAAAACTTCTTTGCCTAGACCATGCTGCACTTTAGATTTTCATCCTCCATTAACTCCCCTTGTTTTCATCTTCTGTAAATGACTTAAAAAAAAAATCTATAGTGGTAGATGACTTAATTGCATCCCCCTTGGTCTTTTTTAGACTGCTCCTCCTTTTGTTACCTTCTTCAAGAAGGTTTTGCTGATTCCTTGGTTGTTAGCCCTATGCTCATGATTATGCATTTTGTATATATATCCTTATTTTGTGTGAACATGTATCTTCCAATAGATTGTAAGTTTCTTAAGAGTCATGAAGAGTCTAAAATGACTGAACAACAAATCATCTTAGCATTGAGCTTTACTGCCACTGGATGCCCATATTTAAATAGCATGGGATTAATCACAATTCCTTAGTTGGACTTCCTGTTTTAAACCTTGCGTGTTACTCTACCTCCTAATACTCCTAATACTCTAATGCTCCTCTTTTCTGGTTACATTTCATATCCATGTCCAGTGGCAAGATACAGATCAGAGTGAGTTGAGATGGCCCTGGATGCAGTGGGAGACCTTGGCTTTTTTAAGGTAAGGTCTTAATAGGTCTCAGTTTGACTGGGGCAATGCCCGTTTAGTGATTAAAGCTAGATAAGAAACGAGGCAGAGAATGGACTCTTTTACCTAGATAAAAAAAATCAGTCTGGGAGGTGAGAACCTTCAGGGTTTCTGGCTAAAACAGAAACCATTGCTGAGGAGAAAGTGAGGCTGGTGACTTTGCACAACCTTCCATCACTTAAATCCACTTCACTTGCATATCATGGTATCATCTCCCTCATGTCATTGTCCTCTTTGAGAAGGAAGGACAAACAACAGAAATATCTGTGTATGTAAACCTTGGCTCAGTTTTATTTAGCTTATAGAAATAGTATAATTTCAAGATAGAATCAGGCTTGAAATTAAGTTTAAAAGTGATAAAGATCTATATTATTATGATAAAGATCTATCTATATTATTTCAACGAAATTGAAATAATAGTGTCCTCACAGCAAGAGGTTCGTACATGTATTAAACTTGAAGTGAATTCAAGATTTTGTACTAATACTTCACAAATCGTTGTATTCCACAAACAGTGATCAAGATAAATTGGTATTCTTTACTATTTATCTCTCATTTTTCAGTATTATTTATGTAACAATACCAACTGTACTCTGGATCCAATGGACTGGTGTACTGCATTCTCTCCCTCTCCATTAAAGAAACTTTCTACTCAGAACCCAGGTGGGTATGAGTTGGGTTCAGTCCTTGGGGAGCCTAGCCTCTAATGTAAGGGGCTGTATTTTGTTGTTCTTTTGCTTTTCTATTCAACTTTTTATGTTCCTGCCTTGGAGTCTAGGGAAAAAATAAAGTTTAACTAATTTAATTCATCTATTTAATTCATATCTCCAAAAGGGGGGGGGTAGAAAGTACTCGGTGTATGATGTTAATCCTGTGTGGGACATGACACATAAGAGAAATGTTAAACACTAAGATAAGTAAACATTGACAAAAGACTTAAAAACAATACAGTAACATAAAA